ATCTTCTAACCTCTAAGTATAACAGTTTACCACTTCCTAAATATAACAATTATAAGAACTCAAATGAACTGTTATTTTCAACCGCGATAGTAAGGAAGCCACCGTACCGAGTCTCTTCTATTCCCAGGTTTCTGTATCACAATTGCTTTATTATTTATTTATTGCTTTTTTATTAAATTGCTTTTGTTATTGCTGCTGCAGAAACTTTCAATTGATTTAATTGATTTATTTAACATTAATGTTATTAGCAGAAAGTATCTCAATTTTGAAATTGACTGATTGATCGATTGAATTTTCTCTGCGCTGAAAAAAAACCAAATTAATATATTATCTAGCAAATTCTTGATTTCTTTTTAAAGCCAAAATTTTCAACTCATACTTTTTGTCACATTTTTTACTGCTTATACTGCTTATATATTTCAAACAATAATATTAATAAAATTGATATTTGCATAATTTAAATTTAAATTTAAAAAATACATTTTCGCATACTTATCAGGCAGTTCAACTGACCCTAATAATAAACCCCAAAAATTTTTTACACACATCCTTAAAAACTTGATTCAGCTCTTATTGAGCTTTTATTGAATTCCAAAATGGAATTACCCACAATTGAATTAACTACAGTACTAGAGTTGGTCATTTCAGCAGATGCATGTATTTGTAGGAATTCCGAATAGAGGATTCCTATATTTTAAAAAACTTACAAAATCTGAACAGTCTGCGAAGTCCTATATCATCGTATTGCAAAGTCTACAAAGCCTTGATTAGTTAATGCATGTCGAACTAATTTCGGTCACATAGTGAGAAGGGGAACAACCTTAACAAAATTGCTTCCCGTTTAGAGAAAGAAAGATAGGTGAATTTTGAACAACCTGGTACACAACAACAAATAATATAGATTTATATAACACATCCACCATTTCCCAGTTTGATAGTCCTCTTGTACAAGTGAGATTAAGTGAGATTTTTACAAATTCTTATACAGTCATATATGTAGACCTGTTTCATAGTCAGGTTTAGCAGACAGATTTATTTCAGGATTAGCTTCCTCTGATTTCTGATTGGTGTTACACTTTAAAACACTTTTTCATAGAAATTGATTTTTGTCAGACGAAAAATCAAAAGCTATTATAAGGAGGGTTTTTTGGAATGATAAAATTGAAGTTTTTATTGTACCATTTTGCTTAGAAGTGTTGTGTCTTTCTTGGTAAAGTTGTAGCAATGATTTTGTTTTACTTTTCGCCTTTATTTCTTATGAACTGGGAACATGCCTTATTCTGTGTTCTTTCGCTTCGTGACCCATACCTTTGTATTTGTTTCTATATGAAAACACAAGGCATAGTAACACTGTTATCTATTTAGGCAGATATGTGGACCCATTAAGATAACCCCCTTTCAGAGAACTCAATCCCTATTTTGACTATAGTTTTCAGAAATGTTTGCATATGTTTATTTCATTTCGTGATGACTTCTTTAATGTGAGCAAAATAAATCTTTTATTTATAATCTCTAGATCATATCGAAATACAAGAATCAAATTATTTTAAAATGTTTTTATCCATGGAAACTAAAAGTGAATTGTATCAAAAATTTTCTTTTTAAACTTGATTGCATTATCCTGTACCATTTGTGGCAATACTGAAACTTGACCTATAAACAACAAACAATTACACTTTAGTATCTTTAAATTTTAAAACTTTTTATTTATTTAGAAATTTCATCTAATTACAGAAAGTAATATTGTAGAAACTTGTTCAAATCAAACATACTCGATATGTACGATTTAAGGAAGAATTTTGAAGCGCGTCTCTCACATTGATGACGGCGTCGTTCTCAATTTATACAATACGTAACGTATCAGTGTAAATATATGTACAATAACAATAAAATATATTTCAAAATATACATACACATACATAAATACATTTATAAATTTACATAGAAAACTTCAGTTGTAATTCAGTTATATATGTTATTCTTACTATTTTCTTTCAATATTGTTTATCGTTAGTTGTATAATTTGTATATTCGTTAAGCATATCTACTATTGCTAATCACTTTTAAAGTTCTAACAATTTTAAAATTTATCGAAAAAGATTTCATTGTGCATTTAATTCAAAATATCTTAGGTGCAGTACATTTTAAATAGATAATTCCAAAGCACGGATCTTAATCCCAAAGTTTGTATTCTCATGCAGTCATGCAGTTCTGCTCAGAGTCATGCAATTAAGATCTTTAGTATAATATCTAAATATGAAACACTTGTAAAGCAAAAAGGCATTAAAATTAGATAATTGTATATTTTCGTATATTCTCTTATATCGGAATAAACCTTAACCTTACGTGCATGTACATATATAGTTTTCTATATAATAAAACAATTTGTAGAAAACTCAACTTAATATTGTATATGAGTTTTTTCTTTATTTAATTATGTACTCATATGTATGTAATCATTGAGATGGTCATATATTAATGCGTGTGTCTAAATAATAAATAAAATGGAATCAAAGGAAACTAAAAAATGCTTTCATTACTGAACGTTCTCTACACCCATTTTAAATTATTAACTTGCGCTCCTGACAACAGAACCGAAGAGCTAATAGAACACCAACTAAATCGAACCCATTTAGATTTCAAAAATATTTTTCCTATTCAAACAATATTATCCAAAACTATATAATTGGATTACATACATGTAATCTTGTGATCTTTCGATATCCATGTATTTACTTTATACTGAATTAATAACTCACTTTTCTGCCTTGATAAACGTTGACAATTATATCTAATATTTTTAATCTGAGCAAATGTTGTACAGTTTGATAAATGTAATGATCTGAGAGATAGAACATTGAAAATGCTATACATAAGGAATGAGATACGATTCCTATTCATTTTCTTCAACCTTCTGCAAACCTCCTTAAATGATATAAATAAGAGTTCCATGGAGCAGTCATTGGGTTTATTTATGAATGAAAGTTCAATTTTTTTAAATTCAAAAACCAATAAGCAAAGTTTTAAAGCTTTATGAGTCGCCAATGTCGTCCTCTCTGACTCTCTAGAAGAAACAACAAGCAACATCAAGATATTGAGAATAAGTGCAAGAACAGGAAATCAAATAATCAGCCACGTGATGTATTGTATGTATTATCGGTCTATTATTGGACGTTTCTCTCTAAATTTCGAATTCAATTAATTTGACTTAAAATTTAGAATTTGATTTTTTCTTGTATGTGTAACAGTGTTAAACAATTCAATCTACAAATAAAAGTTTCAGTAGAAAATAATCGCCAAGATTTTTAATGAAATATTAAAAACGGATTGAATTCACTTCTAGAACCGTTATTTCGTTAAATTACAATAATATTTTCGAACAATATTAATTACTTCAAATTTTTTGAAGATTGATATTTAAAGCATTTAAATATATTATGAGGTTATATTATATATTAACATATCATTGAAGTAGACAAAATCACATGTCAATCATCTATCTAATAATCTAAACTACTAAAAGTCTGTTTGAGGGGTCTGTTTTCTTTTAATATTGACTAATCAATCCTATATTCTGTAATAAAGAAATATAGCTATACATATTTATTATAGATATATCTATATATTACCTGAATAGCAATGTAAGCACGATTGCAACTTTTTAATACCATTTAAAAAGTAAATCAAAAGGAAAATGAAGGACTACTATTTTTATATACGAACGACATCTCTATTTGAAAAAAATATCCTTCAATCGCACTCCATTTTCTTCAAATAAACACGTATAAATTTGTAATCAAGAGCAAAACATATTTAATTCTTTACTAATGAGTACAAAATACGCGATTGAAGTACCCTAACATTTAAACCTAAAACTTTTAAAATCCTACCGAGCTAATAAAAATATGGATATGTAATATCTAAGAGTTTTTAAGAACCATTGGGTCTATATTGTAAAGACACTTGCTAACACGGACGACCTAAAAAAATCAGAGTTCCACAATTTCCGGAAATATTTAATTCTTGAAAATTCGCTTAATTCGCTGTAATTAACTAAACCTCTTTTGCTATGATTATTAAACAATTTTAACACGTTTTCAATAAAACAATTGCATCCAGGGCAATATTCGGGCTAAGCAAATTCTTTGAATTCTTAATTTTTACAGAATTTTCAAAAAAGTTTTTAAACTATAAATATTACTTATTCGAATTTTAAAACAATTATTTCATTTTAATTATAAAAGGTGTAAATACCATATTCAATCTGTGGTATTTCAGAAATGTAAATAGACATCGATCTGAAGTAAGATTCGGTCAAATAAGCTCATAAATATATAATATACTAAATTGAACATACTAAAAGGTCATAACCATATACCATATACGTTCAAAAGCCAGATACTCATATCCTCACTACAATATTTTTTATACCTTTACTTACTATTTCTTACTTACTATTGGTACACCGTAATTGGCCACAACTATTAATGAGTAAAGATACTTAACGACACTAACCCGGGTGTAAAGAAATGAGCAATGAGTAAAATTAAAAATAAAGAAAAAAATTAATTTTATAACGGACCATATTACTTCCACAATACCTTCGAATAATACCATATTCAAGTAAAGAAATTATGGAACTGAATTTCGTCGCAATCTAATATGAAGAAATAATGTCCATCAGAGGAACTGGAAACACCAATAAATGAAAAGTCCTTTGAAATATCGATGCCTGTGTCAAAGTGAAGTGTAATTTAAATTTAAAGAAAATGTTAGCAGGACCCGTCTGTACAGGATGTAATATTTCTTTGGATAACATCCAATGAGCAACAACAATTGCTCAGTTTATTAACATTTTTAATATGGTAATGACTTTCAAATATTTCAATACTACATAATTAAAGAAAACTATTAATAATGATTAATTTGCATTAAATTACATTTTTCAATTATATATTTTCTATAAAAAAACTTAAATTAATGACAAAATGTTTATTTATGCTTATTTATTTATTTATTGTGATTTGTTTCGTTTATCAGGCAAAGGACAATTACGCCAATGGCTGAGAATCAAAAACAACTTCTCCTATCGGTAGGTAGGTATGGTTGCATGTGCATTGTGTACCTGAACAGTGAGTTGAGTTCCAACAAACTCCCAGTACACGTGATATGTAGAGGCTTGAACATGACAGAAACCTCGGATTTCTTACGTATTTTATTCGATTTTGTACTAAAAAGGATTCAAAGCCTTTTTTTCATTTTTACATTTTTTACATTCGAAAACTTAACGACAAAGATGAAAACAAATAAATTTCAAACGAAAATACATAACATACTCTCATAAATAATAATCTTTTACTTTCTAGATTTTGCTTCTTACATAAACGTATAAACGTATAAACGTATTAACGCATAAACGCATTACCGCATAAACGGATAAACGTATAAACGAAACCTAATAAAATATTGAGACACTCGCAATGGAGATACTCACATTTAAATAAATTTTTATAAAAATAATAAATATAAACCTTTGATTGCTATTTATATATCTTTTAATTTCAGTTTCACATAATCCTTTGCGCTTTCTTTAAAAGAAAGCAGAAGTCAGTAATTTTTTATTCTATTTCGCTAATAATATTTTATTTTTATAAAATGTTTAAGTATTTAACATGAATAATTTAATTGTAGTTAAGTAACAACGTTTAAATATTATAAGTAACTAATTTTTGTTCAGGTTATTTGTAATCGCAAACAAAAATAAATACTCGTACGAATGGTCGGTTTTGATTTTCTAGTTCATAACTTCCTCATCATAAGCTGCAGTAACATAGATATCCGCATTCTCATCCGGACAAGGTAGAATCCTCAAAAACTGTTTATCTGCTTCTTAGTAATTTTGTAATTTGCAATCCTTGTGCTAATAATGATTATTTATTTTTAATATAATTTTTACTTTTTCTAAATTTTAGGTATGTGTTTGTGTGTTTGTATGGATGTGTTGCTTTGTATTGATCCCCCGATTGATTATTTTTTCATTTCTTCAAAGTTCTACTTGGAATGTCTGGGTTGGCTTAGGAGGTGAAATGAATGGATTGGTGCTGTGTAGTGGTGCTTTGCCTTGGGGAACTGGTAAGTCTGGCGATAGTGGTTTTGTTACGTTAGCAACCCATTCTGCGTCAAAGGGGTCTACAGCGTTTGGTGCTGAGCTTAACGATTGTGCTCGACCGGTTGCAGCAATATGTGGAGCACGTTTAATTGGTACTGGTGAAGTACTTTTGACTACTTGACCATACCAATGATCAGCATTGGGTAGTGGCGCAACTACTTCAACCGGACATACAGTCATTGTTGCTGGCGCTGCTATTGTTGTTGTTGGTGGTGTTAATATTGCAACGGCATTTGTTATTGGCGTTATAACTGCTTGAGATGTCGTTTCAGTTGAATTCATTGGTGGCGAAGTTCTGGAAACTGGCGAAATGGAGGCAATTCGCGGCGTTACTTGTGCAGTAGGTGTACTATTAGTGCTGCTTATTCCAGTAGCAATATACCCATAACTGTTTGATATTATAGGCGATGCAGTAACTATTTTCTGTTGTTGTTTTTCAGCTGCAATAATATTCTGATTAATACTTAAATTATTATTGAAATTAAGATCGTCTCCAGTGCCAATCAATGTGTCTGTTTGTGTTAGTAATGACAAGCCTTGGCTCAGCTCTTGACATAGCTGACTTACTGTATCAACTGTTGTACTACTATCGATTTCTGTATCAAGTCTTGCTTTGGCCGGTGAGACTTCTGGTATAGGTGAAACACCACGATTGGGAGTAGTTAAAGCAAGTGTGTTGGTATTAGCTGTTAAGAATGCTTTTTGCCGCTCTGCATTGGACGGAAGATCATTAATACGCAACGACATTTGTCGTTTGAAAGGCGACTGACTACCGATTGTGCTGAAGGCTCGAAATGAACCCTGCCTTTCTAGCATAGATGGTGTAGCATGAGGTCTTTCAATGGCAAATGGATTGTATGGCTTTGCCTGTGGCTGTGGAGGAACTGCCACTGAAGGCGTATCGACACTACGTTCATTACTTGCCAAACGTTCAGTTAGTGTTTGCTGACGAAATGAGCCAGTACGTGTAAAAGTTGCACTTTTTGCATCAAATGTCATTGTTACACCACACTCCTTATCCCGACGTTGTTTACGTTCCAAACAAACGGCAAACGCACAACCAACAGCATGCGATAGACGTTCACCAATGTCCTTGCATGAAAGAAAACCATGACACATCCAACGACGAGTAGTACCATCTCGGCATATATAGCTAAATCCACGTTCATGATTACGATCTGGCGCACAAAAACTCACTTTCTCAATGGTCTGGTCGACAATAAGACCTTTCGTTTCATCATCCACTACACGCAAACCATCCCCACTTACATGAAGCATGCCACGAACAGGACGACGACGGGAATTCTATAAAAACAAAAAGGAAAATTAATTAACTGTCATATTATCATATAAAAATTCTGGTTTTCAGTTCTTTTTATCGTGTATCATATATAATAGAAATTTTAAAATATCTAGGAAACTATCCAATGACATTATTAAAGCACAACTAATCGATTCTAAATTTATAAATAGAACAACAAATAGAAAAATTATTTAAGAGAATGAGTTTGTACAAAATAATACTTAGATTAGAAGCCTGTAAATTAAACGAGTACTTCATTATCCCCTCTACTTTCAATTTTATTTTTTGTTTTTCTCTACACATATCCATCCAATATTCCTCATGTACAATAATGTAATCTATTAATGTTTCGTTATCCTGTCTATTATCTTTCATATAAGTGATGTTTATGTAGATGGTATCTAAAGTTACCTTAGAAAGCTTAAGAGCAAAAATTTTAAACTACAAGGAATATCTATTTAACATTAAATATGAATAAGTATTTAGTTAAAAAAAAAATAAAAAAAATAAATAAATAAAAATAGATCTTTACTGTCAGTACTGGAAATAAAAATTTATAAAACAAATATATAAAAATAACTATGCAATATATCAGTATAGACCTTAATGGATATGAAAACTTGCCATAATAGTTCTTCTACTCCAAATAATTTAGGTATAGTAAAACTACTATTACGCTACTACTTTTTTAATATTGTCTAGTGAATTTTCTTACATATTATACGATCATTCATATTAACAATATTTCTCTACCTCTAAGACCGACAAACTTATAAATAAATAAATAACGGTCTATTAATATTGCCAAATAGTCCATTATATAAGTATGTAATTTATTTGTAAGTTGAAACTTATACAAGTTATATGGACTTACGTCGATGTATAATACTCAAAATAACTTACCCTTAAAACTTTCAGGGCCTCCTCGCAAGCTGGCATGCCGCGCGATTCGAATACCTCAACACAACCTAAATATTTTACAGGAAATGAACATGTTGCTGAACGAACAGCTTCTTCATCTGCTTGCCATTGATGTGGTTTCGATGATTCTGGTACCCGATCCTTTCTTCGTCGAAATGAATCACGAAAAGATCGTCGCAAACGATCCATTTTCTTTGGTGATTTTTTACTAAATCGAAACGATGCAGATTTCTATAGAAGAATAAAATAGAGATACTGATCAAATAAGGATATTTTTTATTATCAAAATTTCAAGATTATACGAATATAGAATTTTTATTAAATATTATATATCCATACATATTTCTTAATGTGCTTCGTAGAAGAGTAACCTACCCCATTTTTAACATCACCAAATTTTCCTCTAGTAAAGCCACGCTCAAGTGGTTCATGAGTGTGTGACGACGAGTTTCCCATTTTTCAAATCAACTAATTATCTTCTAACCTCTAAGTATAACAGTTTACCACTTCCTAAATATAACAATTATAAGAACTCAAATGAACTGTTATTTTCAACCGCGATAGTAAGGAAGCCACCGTACCGAGTCTCTTCTATTCCCAGGTTTCTGTATCACAATTGCTTTATTATTTATTTATTGCTTTTTTATTAAATTGCTTTTGTTATTGCTGCTGCAGAAACTTTCAATTGATTTAATTGATTTATTTAACATTAATGTTATTAGCAGAAAGTATCTCAATTTTGAAATTGACTGATTGATCGATTGAATTTTCTCTGCGCTGAAAAAAAACCAAATTAATATATTATCTAGCAAATTCTTGATTTCTTTTTAAAGCCAAAATTTTCAACTCATACTTTTTGTCACATTTTTTACTGCTTATACTGCTTATATATTTCAAACAATAATATTAATAAAATTGATATTTGCATAATTTAAATTTAAATTTAAAAAATACATTTTCGCATACTTATCAGGCAGTTCAACTGACCCTAATAATAAACCCCAAAAATTTTTTACACACATCCTTAAAAACTTGATTCAGCTCTTATTGAGCTTTTATTGAATTCCAAAATGGAATTACCCACAATTGAATTAACTACAGTACTAGAGTTGGTCATTTCAGCAGATGCATGTATTTGTAGGAATTCCGAATAGAGGATTCCTATATTTTAAAAAACTTACAAAATCTGAACAGTCTGCGAAGTCCTATATCATCGTATTGCAAAGTCTACAAAGCCTTGATTAGTTAATGCATGTCGAACTAATTTCGGTCACATAGTGAGAAGGGGAACAACCTTAACAAAATTGCTTCCCGTTTAGAGAAAGAAAGATAGGTGAATTTTGAACAACCTGGTACACAACAACAAATAATATAGATTTATATAACACATCCACCATTTCCCAGTTTGATAGTCCTCTTGTACAAGTGAGATTAAGTGAGATTTTTACAAATTCTTATACAGTCATATATGTAGACCTGTTTCATAGTCAGGTTTAGCAGACAGATTTATTTCAGGATTAGCTTCCTCTGATTTCTGATTGGTGTTACACTTTAAAACACTTTTTCATAGAAATTGATTTTTGTCAGACGAAAAATCAAAAGCTATTATAAGGAGGGTTTTTTGGAATGATAAAATTGAAGTTTTTATTGTACCATTTTGCTTAGAAGTGTTGTGTCTTTCTTGGTAAAGTTGTAGCAATGATTTTGTTTTACTTTTCGCCTTTATTTCTTATGAACTGGGAACATGCCTTATTCTGTGTTCTTTCGCTTCGTGACCCATACCTTTGTATTTGTTTCTATATGAAAACACAAGGCATAGTAACACTGTTATCTATTTAGGCAGATATGTGGACCCATTAAGATAACCCCCTTTCAGAGAACTCAATCCCTATTTTGACTATAGTTTTCAGAAATGTTTGCATATGTTTATTTCATTTCGTGATGACTTCTTTAATGTGAGCAAAATAAATCTTTTATTTATAATCTCTAGATCATATCGAAATACAAGAATCAAATTATTTTAAAATGTTTTTATCCATGGAAACTAAAAGTGAATTGTATCAAAAATTTTCTTTTTAAACTTGATTGCATTATCCTGTACCATTTGTGGCAATACTGAAACTTGACCTATAAACAACAAACAATTACACTTTAGTATCTTTAAATTTTAAAACTTTTTATTTATTTAGAAATTTCATCTAATTACAGAAAGTAATATTGTAGAAACTTGTTCAAATCAAACATACTCGATATGTACGATTTAAGGAAGAATTTTGAAGCGCGTCTCTCACATTGATGACGGCGTCGTTCTCAATTTATACAATACGTAACGTATCAGTGTAAATATATGTACAATAACAATAAAATATATTTCAAAATATACATACACATACATAAATACATTTATAAATTTACATAGAAAACTTCAGTTGTAATTCAGTTATATATGTTATTCTTACTATTTTCTTTCAATATTGTTTATCGTTAGTTGTATAATTTGTATATTCGTTAAGCATATCTACTATTGCTAATCACTTTTAAAGTTCTAACAATTTTAAAATTTATCGAAAAAGATTTCATTGTGCATTTAATTCAAAATATCTTAGGTGCAGTACATTTTAAATAGATAATTCCAAAGCACGGATCTTAATCCCAAAGTTTGTATTCTCATGCAGTCATGCAGTTCTGCTCAGAGTCATGCAATTAAGATCTTTAGTATAATATCTAAATATGAAACACTTGTAAAGCAAAAAGGCATTAAAATTAGATAATTGTATATTTTCGTATATTCTCTTATATCGGAATAAACCTTAACCTTACGTGCATGTACATATATAGTTTTCTATATAATAAAACAATTTGTAGAAAACTCAACTTAATATTGTATATGAGTTTTTTCTTTATTTAATTATGTACTCATATGTATGTAATCATTGAGATGGTCATATATTAATGCGTGTGTCTAAATAATAAATAAAATGGAATCAAAGGAAACTAAAAAATGCTTTCATTACTGAACGTTCTCTACACCCATTTTAAATTATTAACTTGCGCTCCTGACAACAGAACCGAAGAGCTAATAGAACACCAACTAAATCGAACCCATTTAGATTTCAAAAATATTTTTCCTATTCAAACAATATTATCCAAAACTATATAATTGGATTACATACATGTAATCTTGTGATCTTTCGATATCCATGTATTTACTTTATACTGAATTAATAACTCACTTTTCTGCCTTGATAAACGTTGACAATTATATCTAATATTTTTAATCTGAGCAAATGTTGTACAGTTTGATAAATGTAATGATCTGAGAGATAGAACATTGAAAATGCTATACATAAGGAATGAGATACGATTCCTATTCATTTTCTTCAACCTTCTGCAAACCTCCTTAAATGATATAAATAAGAGTTCCATGGAGCAGTCATTGGGTTTATTTATGAATGAAAGTTCAATTTTTTTAAATTCAAAAACCAATAAGCAAAGTTTTAAAGCTTTATGAGTCGCCAATGTCGTCCTCTCTGACTCTCTAGAAGAAACAACAAGCAACATCAAGATATTGAGAATAAGTGCAAGAACAGGAAATCAAATAATCAGCCACGTGATGTATTGTATGTATTATCGGTCTATTATTGGACGTTTCTCTCTAAATTTCGAATTCAATTAATTTGACTTAAAATTTAGAATTTGATTTTTTCTTGTATGTGTAACAGTGTTAAACAATTCAATCTACAAATAAAAGTTTCAGTAGAAAATAATCGCCAAGATTTTTAATGAAATATTAAAAACGGATTGAATTCACTTCTAGAACCGTTATTTCGTTAAATTACAATAATATTTTCGAACAATATTAATTACTTCAAATTTTTTGAAGATTGATATTTAAAGCATTTAAATATATTATGAGGTTATATTATATATTAACATATCATTGAAGTAGACAAAATCACATGTCAATCATCTATCTAATAATCTAAACTACTAAAAGTCTGTTTGAGGGGTCTGTTTTCTTTTAATATTGACTAATCAATCCTATATTCTGTAATAAAGAAATATAGCTATACATATTTATTATAGATATATCTATATATTACCTGAATAGCAATGTAAGCACGATTGCAACTTTTTAATACCATTTAAAAAGTAAATCAAAAGGAAAATGAAGGACTACTATTTTTATATACGAACGACATCTCTATTTGAAAAAAATATCCTTCAATCGCACTCCATTTTCTTCAAATAAACACGTATAAATTTGTAATCAAGAGCAAAACATATTTAATTCTTTACTAATGAGTACAAAATACGCGATTGAAGTACCCTAACATTTAAACCTAAAACTTTTAAAATCCTACCGAGCTAATAAAAATATGGATATGTAATATCTAAGAGTTTTTAAGAACCATTGGGTCTATATTGTAAAGACACTTGCTAACACGGACGACCTAAAAAAATCAGAGTTCCACAATTTCCGGAAATATTTAATTCTTGAAAATTCGCTTAATTCGCTGTAATTAACTAAACCTCTTTTGCTATGATTATTAAACAATTTTAACACGTTTTCAATAAAACAATTGCATCCAGGGCAATATTCGGGCTAAGCAAATTCTTTGAATTCTTAATTTTTACAGAATTTTCAAAAAAGTTTTTAAACTATAAATATTACTTATTCGAATTTTAAAACAATTATTTCATTTTAATTATAAAAGGTGTAAATACCATATTCAATCTGTGGTATTTCAGAAATGTAAATAGACATCGATCTGAAGTAAGATTCGGTCAAATAAGCTCATAAATATATAATATACTAAATTGAACATACTAAAAGGTCATAACCATATACCATATACGTTCAAAAGCCAGATACTCATATCCTCACTACAATATTTTTTATACCTTTACTTACTATTTCTTACTTACTATTGGTACACCGTAATTGGCCACAACTATTAATGAGTAAAGATACTTAACGACACTAACCCGGGTGTAAAGAAATGAGCAATGAGTAAAATTAAAAATAAAGAAAAAAATTAATTTTATAACGGACCATATTACTTCCACAATACCTTCGAATAATACCATATTCAAGTAAAGAAATTATGGAACTGAATTTCGTCGCAATCTAATATGAAGAAATAATGTCCATCAGAGGAACTGGAAACACCAATAAATGAAAAGTCTTTTGAAATATCGATGCCTGTGTCAAAGTGAAGTGTAATTTAAATTTAAAGAAAATGTTAGCAGGACCCGTCTGTACAGGATGTAATATTTCTTTGGATAACATCCAATGAGCAACAACAATTGCTCAGTTTATTAACATTTTTAATATGGTAATGACTTTCAAATATTTCAATACTACATAATTAAAGAAAACTATTAATAATGATTAATTTGCATTAAATTACATTTTTCAATTATATATTTTCTATAAAAAAACTTAAATTAATGACAAAATGTTTATTTATGCTTATTTATTTATTTATTGTGATTTGTTTCGTTTATCAGGCAAAGGACAATTACGCCAATGGCTGAGAATCAAAAACAACTTCTCCTATCGGTAGGTAGGTATGGTTGCATGTGCATTGTGTACCTGAACAGTGAGTTGAGTTCCAACAAACTCCCAGTACACGTGATATGTAGAGGCTTGAACATGACAGAAACCTCGGATTTCTTACGTATTTTATTCGATTTTGTACTAAAAAGGATTCAAAGCCTTTTTTTCATTTTTACATTTTTTACATTCGAAAACTTAACGACAAAGAT